CAGCAGCAACATGATGTGATTTTTCACAGTGATTATTCTGGTTGGAGCAGTCGTCCTCCAGTGGGAGAGTTGGGGCTTCGATTCCACCAACAGTCACATGCTGAAGTGTCCCTGGACAAGACACTAAACCCCTCATTGCCTCTGATGTGTGTCCCATCGGTGTATGAATGTGATCTATAGCACTAATTATCTAGTAGAGTGCTGTATGAATGGGTAAATGAGGGCATAAATTGTAGTGTAAAGCACTTTAAGTAGCTTGATATGATAGAAAGACTATATAAGTACAGTCCATTTACCATTGAGTCAGAGAGATTGTAGTGAACCTGATGACCTGATGATCTGACCCTCATCTGACCCTGATGACCTCAAATCTACCAGATGGACAGAGACTGTTATTTTCATTGATCTGAATAAGTCTGAGCCATCTGATGACTTTCTTTCTTGAATTAATCAAGCAGAAAAGACAATCCTCTATAATCATTACTGTCTTACAAATGTTTTGATAATCAAATTGTGTTAGTTTCACTCAATGCTTACAGGTTGAAAAGAACTACTCATTTTTATTTTACATAAACAGTAAGTAATGATTTTTATTCCTCATTCAAAGAAGAAATCACCTGAATATGCATTTCTTGATTTTCTGTCTGAAATGAGCCAAGTCGTAAGTATGTGAAAGTTGAAGCTTCGGTCAACTAAATGTTTACTGAAGAAGAAATGTCATGTTTAACTATTTGAGAAGATAATCAGAATAGAGACTCCACGAAGTCTGCTTTTTGCAATAATCTCTCTGTCAGTTGTTAAACAAATTTCATTCTCTGACCTCGACTTTTGATAAACACCTTACGTCAAAACCACACCTCTTTCTGGTACATCCACGAATCAGAAAGCTCTAAATTGAACCGGAAGTCGACCCATTTAAAATGTGGCAACTTTCCAGTTCAAGTGAGTTCTGAGCAGTTCTCAAAAAGTTCTCAAAAAGTTCTGAATAGTTCTGAAGTTCTGGAGCGGTTCTCATGTAGTTCGGAAGCAGTTCTGAAGCAGTGCTCAAGGAGTTCTGAAGAGAATTGGTTAGAATTCATGGAGAATGGTGAAGTGAATGGAAGAGAATTCGAGAATTCAGGAGAGTCAGAGACGTTGGAATTATAACTTCTGTTTGAACAACCCACGCACGACTATCTAAGGATTTCAGCAGCTCTCAACGGAGACGCTGAAAGGTCTGGAGGACTCTCTATCGAGCTGATCTATCATCAACAAGGTAACGGTCTCTTCTTCGACTAAAGTGTACCGGAAGCGAGCTGAAATCTGATGAAGCGTGCACGTTCTGGTCAACAGATTAAATTCCCTCACATATTTCTCTGTAAGATAAATCTCCACTTCATCTTAAACTCTTCTCTCTCTCACAAAACCAGTACAGATATTTTAGAAATATCTGAAGCAAAGTCCTCAAATCACCGCCGAGTGATTTGAAGTTCATTATTTGTGAAACTGTCTGTTATTATTTTCATATTTTGCCAAATTAATGTAAATGTTTGATGTTAAACTTTGATTCTGAAAATAAATGACTCCATTCATTTTGATGGGTCAAAGATAATAACGTCTCTCGTTCGCATTTCTTTTAAAATTCAATGCACGACATTACAGTCAGAAAGATGAGGAACTCGTGAATATAGTATGCATATAAACGGGGATATATTGTCATACTACAACAAGTGACACGTACCCACGTGACTCACTACAAGATGTATCTGTCATTCACACCTCATAGTACATGTGGTGGAACGAGATTATATATGCAGGGTCCCAGTTAAATCCAACAATAAAATGTAAAAGAAAAACAGTAATAACATCTAAGAAAAACATCAGCTAAATAATACACTAGAAGAAGACGAAGGAAATGGTCATGCACTTCAGACGGAACAACCCCCCCCCCCCCCACACACACACACACACACCGAACATAGGAGTATCTGTAGTGGAAGTGGTCTCCAGCTACAAGTACTTGGGTGTACACATGAATTACAACCTCAGCTGGAGCAACAACACCACCAGCCTGATCAAGAAAGCTCATCAGAGACTCTACTTCCTCAGACGGCTGAGGCGAGCTGGTCTGGGAAGCTCAGTCCTCACCTCCTTCTACAGGTGTGCAGTGGAGAGCATCCTGTGCTCGAGCATCAATGTGTGGCATGGAGGCTGCACAGCTGCAGAAAGAAAAGCTTTGCAGAGAGTGGTGAAGGCTGCACAGAAGATGTTGGAGTCAGCCTCCCCACCATCACAGACATCTACACCTCCAGATGCAGGAAGAGAGTCACCTGCATCATGAAGTACCCCACTCACCCAGCACACACACTTTTCGCCCCGATCTCCTCAGGAAGGAGGTTGAGGAGCATTAAGTGTAGAACCACTAGACTGAGGAACAGCTTCTACAGGCTGTTAGACTCATGAATCTCTGACCACTTATCCATAGCCGGCCCACAATACCAGCAACCAGCTCTTTCCTTGTCCTTCTCAGCTCCTGTGAGTTGGCAGACTTGAAGGCAGTGTTCCTGGCTTCTAGCAAGGTGCAAACCTCTGCGTTCAGCTAAGGCTTCCTGTTTGCGTAGCTCTTAACATATCTGATGGTGGTGACGTCATCAACACATTTCTGAGGATGTGTATTCCTCCAGGTCTAGCTCCCCTTCATTTACAGCAGCTTCTCTGAAGACTTTTTTTAAGAACCTAAAAGTAGTATCTCAGTAGAGTGTTCAGTCTTCAGTCTAAAGTCAGTCTGACTTCTCAGATTGACGAAGCCCTTCGAATGTAGGGCAAAACGTCGCTCAACAAAAAAAAAAAAACTGTCCTGATGACCTGACTGACATTGTTGTACTTTTAGGAATCTTTTCAGTACCCTTAAAAGTTGTTGCACTATTTGAGGCATTCTTTCTGCTCTGTGTTTCAGTCTGCCTTTTTTATACTGTATAAGCATACTGTCATTGAGTGACAGACACAAAGGGTGTGGTTATCATGGTGACCCATATTAGCCACTGGCAACAGCTTTTGATCTTTATCTTTAAACTAATATAATTTATGCATCAAAATAGCAATATTTTGTCCAATTATTTGACAATTAAAAGGAAGTCCCAGATTATTACGGGGGTTCAGTAATGAAAAATGTCAGAGTTTCTAGCAGTAGCTGGGCTGACACCCTTCAACATTTCATCAGAAATCTGTGTTGTATGTTTCTTCCAGCCAGAATTGGTGGACGAGCAGCTGTTTCTGACCGCAGTCACTGAGAACAAACTACCTCTGGTGGAGAAGTACTTGGCAGATGGAGGAGATCCCAATGTAGCTGACAATGTAAGTCATGTAGCGTTTTTCTGAAACGGGATAAAACTCTGAAAGTGTCTGATGTTAAACCAAGATACTATAAAACTTTCTCTACAAAGTGCACAAATATCACATTTTTAAATCTCCAGTTCCAGAGGACAGCTTTGCACAAAGCCTCCTTCAAAGGACACATGGATGTGATTAAAAGACTTCTAGAGGCTGGAGCTGTCATTGAGCAGAAGGACAAGGTGACGGGTTTGGAGGTTGCACTTTGTGTTTCTTTGTCTGTTTTCTGTGTGTATGTTTTATTTACAGGGTTTTTTTTTTTACATATAGTCTGATGGTCCAAAGTATTTTTCAGCTGGAGGCCACGGCAGTCCACTGGGCCTGCAGAGGAGGCAACCTGCTGGCCCTGGAGTTCCTCCTCAACCAGGGAGCCAAGTTCACCTCCAGAGACAAGGTGCGTCCTCAGATTGAACCGGCATTTGACTGACCCACACCTGCCTCCACCCTCATTTGCCTCACTCTGGGCCCCTGAGCAAGGCCCTTCACCCCCACCATCTGCTCCCTGTCTCGCTTGAAAATGAGTTCTCGTGACTCAGTGAGACTACCTGTATACTGGTAAACAAACTGTAAATAAAATAAAATAAAATAAATAATGCATATGGGCAGCACGGTGGCGCAACTGGTAGAGCTGCTGCCTCTCAGCGAGCAGGTCCCTGGTTCAAACCCCGGTCCAGGGGCCTTTCTGGGTGGAGTTTGCATGTTCTCTCTGTGCATGCGTGGGTTTTCTCCGGGTACTCCGGTTTCCTCCCACAGACCAAAAACATGCATGTTAGGCTGATTGGTAACTCTAAATTGTCCCTAGGTGTGAGTGGGAGAGTGAATGGTTGTTTGTCTCGTTTGTCTCTATGTGTCCCTGTGATGGACTGGAGACCTGTCCAGGGTGTACCCCGCCCCTCACACAGTGATTGCTGGACATGGGCACCAGCGACCCCCGTGACCCAAAATGGAATAAGCGGGTAAAGATAATGGATGGATGGAAATAATACATATAGTTTCACGTCATCAAACTGGACTTTTGGAATATTTTTGTTACATTTTCAGCAAAAATAAACATTTACCTCATTTTTCTCTCAGCTGCTCAGCACACCTCTTCATGTGGCTGTGAGGACAGGACACTGTGAGTGCGCCGAGCATCTTATTCACTGTGGAGCAGACGTCAACGCTAAAGACAGAGTGAGTACCTACACAAGTTCACTCAGGAACCAGAATATTTCTTAGTGATTAATGACATTTTCAGTTTTTGTATCTGTTAAATTTTTCCTGGAATCCAGTGAATGAATCAGATTCATTTCTTTTTGTGTGTGTGTGTTAAAAATCAGATTTTTGCTCAACATCAGTTTTCCTGTCTAACTTTAGGATGGAGACACACCAATGCACGATGCAGTGAGGATAAACAGGTTTAAGATGATCAAGCTGCTGACGATGTACGGGGCCAGTCTCAGCACAAAGAACCTTGTAAGTAGGGAACTGGACCACTTCTTAGGAAACGTGACTACCAGTGGTGAGGTCTACATTTTTGTAGTGGGTAAACCATGGTAAAGTGAGTTTTATGTTGGACACCGCTGAATCCATGGTGCACAAATGTCCGACGTCCAACGCAAAACTAACTTTACCCTGGTCGGTCCGTATACTGTGCTTACAAACCAAAGTACACTGGTTAGTACAATGTAATCATCAATTTATTTTGATTTTCAAGCGTACTGAACATTTCCAAATTTCTCTGATACTTATATTTGAATAAATGAACAACAAACTTTGTACAACAGTTGGCTTTGTATTAAAAATATGTTATAGAATTTATAAAACAGTATCAAAGCAAAACATGTTCAAGTATGAAGTAATAAGTACAGAAGTATTAATTATACAATAATTTGCTGGATAAGCAAATGTACTAAACAAGCGCTGCATACCAATAAGTTGTTACAGAAGCGTTTAACTGTTGTTTAACACGTCAGTGACACGTGCCTAATGATACGTCATGTATCATTGGGCACTTTTAAGTGGGCATACTGAAATTCTTAAGCTTTTCTAGTGGGTATACTCTATATGCTCACGTATCGTGTAGACTACACCACTGGTATCTACTGAATTTCATGTTGCTTCTTAGTTTCAGTTTGTTCAATTTCCTCTTGATGCCCATGTTTGTTATAGAAAACTGATTACTATGTTAAACCAGCAAATGACTATTTGAAAAAGGTTATAAAAAAGTACATTTCAAGGGTCCCAGTACATGAGCATCAAACCACTCATGACTTATTGTCAGTTTTATTTTTCTGTTTGCACCACATCTACTCCTGCAGTGTTAAAAAAAACCCACAGAAAATATGACGTTAATTTATGAACATTGTCTTATGACAATGGGTAGTGTTGCATTCTATGGATTTAACAAAATATACAAACAAAAAATGTAAAAAAAAAAAAAAAAAAAAATGTTTCTATAGAAAACAATGGGATGTTGGTGAAAGAACTAAAAAAAATAAAAAAATTAAGCCCCTTTAGAGTGCTATAGCTCAGACATACTTCACAGTGAAACATCACTTAAAGTTTAAACAGGTCACAAATGATTAGATTTTACATGACTAAACTGGAACTTAGATCAGCTTAAATGTAATTACAGTTTAAGTTTTAGGATTTATTTATTTATTTCAAGATTTTACTACAGAATCTTTTACTTGGACTGGAATGATGTCACACTCTACCTTTTCAGCTGTGATAAATTTCCAACATTTTTGCAAACAGTCTTATTACTTCCACAAAGTTTACACTTTTTATACAGTTTTTTACAATTGTGGGTATTTTTGTCTTCTTTCAGTCAGTGTGTTTCTCACTGTTGGACTGTAGGCTGTACGACTCAGGTTTTTGTTAAAACCCATCAGAGTGCAGAATGCTCACACCCAGACTGTCACTGATTTCTATTGTATCCGAGCTCTAAATGATCTCATCAGAATGCCTAAAACAGAATCTATTTAATTGTTCATATCACCATTAAGCACTGTAGATAAATAAAAAAAAAGTCCACCAAAGGTTTTAGTTGTTTAAGAATGTATTTGATACAACCTATAGTTTTCATATAGTTTCTGTCTAATCAGGAGTAATGCTGTGATCTGCCAGCAACCAGTGACTCAGCAGATTCTGATTTGCTTGATCTTCTATTTTGTTCAACAGTTTCCCCTTTATTAGATTATTTCATAATAGCCACCCCCAAAAATCCTGTAGGAATTGAAAACTTTTGTTCTTATTTGTTCTTAACCTTTTATCCAATGGGGCACATGCTTAGTGAAAAACTTTGGTGAGCAAAGCTTCCACTCCACCCCATTTGTCTCCATGGCCATTATTAGGTGTTTCATTCTGCACAAAAAACAAAATAAAAATGATAAATGGTACTTATATAGAAAGAGCCTTTCTATCTTATCAAGATACTCTAAGTGCTTTACAACACAATCTGTGCCTCATTTACTCATTCATACATCACTCTACCAGATGTATACGAAGACTAATCAGAGCTTTATCACATTCAGACACTCATGGGACACACATCACATGCAGTGAGGGGGTCATTGTCTTGTCCAGGGACACTTTGGCATTTGGCTGGTGATTGAACCCCCAAATCTTGTGTTGGAAGATCTAACCACTGACACCCCAAGATTGTAAATAACGGTTGTAAAAACATTTGGGGCTGTTTAGCAGCAAGAAACAATCCTTTAAGGAGCATGCACAGTATCCATTGGCCATTTGGGACGTTACAGAGCAGCTTTTTAAGGAAGACATCGTCATGCATGCTCAATAATCCAGGTAGATAAATCTAACAAAGTTGAGTCAGGTCATCTGGACAGATTCTTTTTGTTGAAATGTTTTGTCTTTAATCTAAAAGACTTCTTCAGACTGAGGAGCTGCAACAAACTCAGCCTTATACTGTAAATAGCACCTTCTCATAGTGGATCAACCAGTTTGTTGTTGGCATCCTGAACTACCTGTTCACGTGTAAAAAGGAGGACCATCAGCCTAACAATTGATAGTCGGGCTGCGGCATTCTGGACCAGTTGTAGTCGTGCAATGTTAGGCGGATGGACCAACGTTTTTACATGTGAACAGCTAGTTCAGGATGTGAACAACAAACTGGTTGATCCACTATGAGAAGGTGCTGTTTATAAGACTGAGTTTGTTGCAGCTCCTCAGACTGAAGAAGTCTTTTGGATAAAAGACGAAAAGTTTCAACAAAGAAGAATCCGTCCAGAGGACCTGACTCAACCTTGTCAGATTTCTGAGGAAGAGTTGTCTTCTCTAGTTTTTCAATCAACCTTGATTTTCTCTTTTGTGCAGGATGGAAAAACTCCACTGGAGACATTGTATTCATGGCAGAATGGAGCGAAAAGCCTCCTGCACAACTTCAATGAGGAGAAGCCCAGTCATTGAAAATAACACCTTCCCCCCCCACCCCCACCCCAACCCTCCTGAATTATCAGCATGAATGTTTCTTAAGGATTTCATTTTACAACCCACCAGGATGATGTTTTTATCTGCAGGTTGAGATATAATAGCTTACTTTTAATGAAAAATATGCAATCAGGGACGTTTAATCAATAATGTGAAATCTAATGAGGATTTTTTTTGTGTGTATTATAACTATATAGATCTGAGAGATTAATTGATTTTCAAATATTGCTGGACAATATTTTTTAAATTATTTTTACGTTAAGCTGAGTTGAAACCAGCAGTGATGCATCTGGAAGACGACTTTTTTTATTTATTAATGACACGTGTGCTGATTGACAAGTTTATTGTGATTGACTTATTTATTTTAATAACAAACCTTTTAAAATCGATTGCTTTGTGTTACGCTGTCTTTTATTGTTTACTCTAATGTGTTTGCTTAGATGTGTAATTTTTCCAGGTGTATGATTTTGAAATCAGGTCAGATTTTTGTATGACTTGAGGTAAGTTTGAAACAAACTGGGTCTTTTTTTAAAAGCCAACAAGGTGTGTTACAGTCACACATTCAGGAACTTTATTCAGATCTTTTGGTTCCATTTGAAACAGAATGAAGAAATGAGATGGGTCACAGAAAGTTTATGCTACAATTAAGGAAAAATGCCAATTTTCCTTTTTGTTTCATGCACCTTTGTGTTATGTAATTATTTTTGTTCATGCTGCAAATTAAGATTATTCAGTGTTAAAATGTATATTCTGCAGCAACATGTCAGTTTTTCAGTCAAATGTTCTTGATAAAATCTTTTGAACTCTACTCATGCCAGCAGCTATCTAAATGTTTTAAAAAGTCAAACCAGTTTAGGCAATGGTTCAAATAAAATCTTCCCCATTTTTGTAACAGTATGACCAATTATTTATTCTGCCTGATGAAAGACCTTTTGACACCCATTTCTAGTTTAGTGGTTTTCATATACTTGGGACTTTGGGCCGTCCGAAACTCTGCTCGGATCAGAACAAACTGAAAAATGACACCAAAGAGATCTTAACCACTTCAGGCAAGTCATCCTTGTGAAAAAAATTAAAATAAAAAATACCTTGCCTAAAATTAATTAACTATGTTTTGTCTTTTCCATGAATTTGTCGTATAGTTTTCTCTTGTGGTTTACGTTTTATTTTTGTGTTTTGAGCTACAAGGGAGGCAAACACGAGGTACTGCTCTGTGCTAGAGCTAAGCTAGCTGGCAGATTTCAACCCACTCAAAGTTCAGGTTGCTCCATCGCTGAGTGACTGCCTGCATCGGATTCGCATGTTGTTGATTTCATGATGAAGCCGGCACCGTTTATTTATTTTTAATCTTCACTGATAAAAAAAAAATAAAAATTATACATAAAATGTTTTTTAAAAATAATTTCCACCCTCCGTCCCAGACCCGTCCCGGTCCAAACATCTGCCGGGATCGGGGTTCAGCCTTCATGATCATTCGAGGCCTTCTGCGAGCCACCAGCTTGTATGATCCTCCGTGGTGACCAGCAGAGCCCGCAGAGCCCGCAAGGGCGGGGCCCAGAGCCAGATCCCTGAGTAGGCAGCACGGAGGATCTTTCGCAGTGACCAGCGGAGCTTGGAGCTGGGTAGATGACGCTCTCACAGCCTGAGGGGGTTCCGAGGCTCCAGTGGAGAGGACTGGGGAAAGCCGGGGACTGGCGAAGCTCCATCTAGCTCGCTCTGAATTTTGTCGTCGGCCACCAAGCACAAAAAAACGCCTGCACTTCAGCATTAGACCACGGTGTTGTCATTATTGTTTTTAAAATCTTAAAAATAGATCCAATCACTCCTCAAGTTCAAACACCGGTAATTGCAAATGACGGATCGAATGTTTCGATAAATTCTCAAACCCCTCAAGCGACTCCGTCCACTGACCAATCAGTGACTGACAGTGTTCTGATGTCACGTTTTGGTGCCGGCTCAGCTCGCTTGGTACCCTGAGAAGATTGGACCAAAAGAGGTGCCGGTTCCATGAAAAAGTGATAGTGGAAAAGGTCTTAAAACCATACCGAACTGAGTTGAGTGATGCTGATAAGATACTATGGAAAAGGGGCTTGAAATAGTAATTTCAGTTCAACCTTTATTTATACAGGTTGTTAGTCTTATTGAGCCTCGAGGACTCATTTACAAGAGAGACCTGTTTTAATCAATTTAATCAAATGCTTACAGACGTTTAACAACCGGTTAAAATACACCAAAATTCAGGAAATGGCATCTCTTTTATTCCAAATTTTCTGGGGGAGGAACCCACAGATACCCCCCACCCCCCAGCCGGGCCACCCACTATTTGTGTTCTGGCATCGATCGGTTTACAAATGAAGCCCTGACATGGAGGTGGAGTGAGGATGCAGAGGACAGAGTAAGATGGAGGACGATGACTCGCTGTGGAGACCCCTGAAAAGAAACAAGCTGAAAGAATAAGAAGATGCAGAGAGATGGCATTCATCCCACTGTGAGTGGAGCCACTCACTAAATTTGTCTAATTTTGTTAGACATCCAAATTATTGACAACCAAGGGTCCAGCCCAGGAAGTGTATACACACATCTCTGTAGCTTCTCCACTATTACCCGCCCAACCCCCATTGAAACAGTGCCAGCTCGTCCATGGTTGAGTTGCATTCGGGCCTAAAAATTCCAACCCGGCCTGAGCCCATAGGTTTTGTTTACAAACCTGACTCGACCCGAACATTTAACTGTAATTACAGGCCTGACCCTGAAGAAAAAAGAAATTTTTTAATTAAGCTTTACTGCTTTTGTAAGCAAATCAATCAGACGTGATATGTTAAAAACGTATTTCAAAGAAAGGAAGATATAAGATTTCTTATTTCACCAAATGGATATTAACATACAAAACGAATAGCCTAAAAAATTTGCTCTAAAGATAGACTATTATACAGATGAACTAAATATTTTAGAGCAAAAATATTTGGAAAAATATAGAACAAAGCTATTTTAATTGAACACACTGCTCGCTTCAGATTTTGTAGATGCTGCTACTTCCTTCACCGCAGATGACAGCAGGTGTGGAGACGCGCACGGCCGGTGATCAGCTGATCCATCTGAAGCTTAACTGGACTTTTGTTTTTTTACCTATTTCATCCAGCCGGTCGGAACTGCCTCCTCCTCTACAAGTAGATCAACACAATCTTATATTGTGCATTCCTATTGTAGTAGTATGTTATAGGATATATATTCATACTTTTCACGAGTT